CTTCCTCCTCAGCCGTCTCTTCCTCCTCCTCCTTTTCCCCCTCCTGTATGTGTATATATATATACACAAATATATACATATGGTGCACGCGTGTAATCTCAGCGTAGACAGTTTCCACATTTTGAGCGTCGACGGGCGCGATGTAAGGTGGACGTTCCCTTGGGGGCTCTTGCGCCGCTTGCCGCTTCGAGCGCCGCGAGGTGACGTTCGGATCCAAGAGGGAGGAGGAGGAGGGGGAGGAGGAGCAGGAGCAGGAGGAGGAGGAGGAGGAAGAGGGGGTGGAGGAGGACGAGGAGGAGGAGGAGGGGAGGAGGAGAAAGAGGATGGGGAAGGTGAGGAGGAGGAGGAGGAGGAGGAGGAGGAGGAGGACGACGACGACGACGACGAGGAGGAGGAGGAGGAGGATGTGGGAGGGGAGGAGGAGGACTGGACTGGACTGGAGCAGTCGCGAAGCGATGGGAAAAATCACGCTGGCCTTGCCCGAGCCCGCGGCGAAAAGGAAGGCTCCGATGACGAACTCTGGATGTGCCAACGGTGAAAGAAACGCATCGAAGGACGTGATCGTACGACCTGAAAGCTGAAGCATACGGAACACGGGGATGCCGTAGCTGAGTCCCTCCAACACGCCACATCCCAGAACCGACCAGAAACAGCGACATCGTTCACTCATCAGGCCCATTCTGGCGCAAAAGTTGTCCAGGCGAAGGACCCGACCGTATGCAGTTGTGACTCGCGCAGTTGTGGGAACCGTATTCGGTGGAACCCCGCATGGGGCCGCGAAGCGTGTGGGGGTTGTGCCAAAACCAGGGGTGACGCCCGACTGTGAGCGTTGCCACTGGGGGGCCCCCATATGGGGCCACGAAACACGTCAAGGGTGCGCCGAAACGGGGGTGACGCCCGCGTCTGAGCATTGCCATTGGCGCCTTCGGTGGTGGGGCTCCGTATGGGGCCACGTGCGAAGGGTGTACCCGCACGGGGGTGACGCGCACATGCGAACTGCGCGATTGGGGCCTTTAGGTGGAGCTCCCATATGTGGCAACGACGCCTACATGCGGACTGTACCACTGGGGCTTGAGGTGGGGCTCCCCATTGTGCCACGAAGGTCGCGAGGGGTGCGCCGGAAGGGGGGCGACGCCCACATGCGAACTGTGCGGCGTCAAATGGCTTCTTATGGGGCAACGAGACGTGTCAAGGGTGTGCCAAAATGGGGCGGCGCCGCCGTGCGAACCGTGCCACTGGGGCATCATGTGGAGCTCCCCGTGGTGCCGCGAAACGTGTGAGGGGTATGCCAACGTGGGGCGGCGCCGCCATGCGAACTGCGCCACTTGGACATTAGGTTGCGCTCTGTATAGGGCCACGAGAAACGTGTGAGGGGTGCGCCAAAATGGGGGGGCGGCGCCATGCGAGGTCCGCCACTTTGACTTCAGGTGGAATTCCCCATGGGGCCATGAAGCGTGTGACGGGTGTGCCAAACACGGGGCGGCGGCGCCATGCGCGCTGCGCCACTGGGACCTTAGGAGGAGTTCCCTATGTGGCCACGAAGCGTGTGAGGGGTGTGCCAAAATAGGGTTGCAGGGCCATGCGGACTGCGCCACTGTGACCCTCGGTGGAATTCCCCATGGGGTCGCCAAACGTATGGGGGCTGTGCCAGAATGGGGTGGTGGCGCCATGTGAGCTGCGCCATTGGGGCCCATGGGACCACGAAGCGTGTGAGGGGTGTGCTAAAAGTGAGGCAGCGGCGCAATGCGAGGTCCGCCACTGTGACCTCGGGTGGAGTTAGTTCCCTATGGGGCCACGAAACGTGTGAGGGCTGTGTTAAAAATATGGCGGCGGCGCCATGCGAGGTCCGCCACTGTGACCTCAGAGGGATTAGTTCCTTATGGGCCACGAAACGTGGGAGGGCTGTGTCAGAATGGGGCGGCGGCGCCATGTGAGGTCCGCCACTGTGACCTCAGGTGGAGCTCCACATGGGGCCACGATGCGTGTGAGGGGTGTGTCAAACATGGGGCGGCGGCGCCATGCGAGGTCCGCCACTGGGGCCTTAGGTGGAGCTCCCTATGGGGCCACGAAACGTGTGAGGGTGTGTTAAAAATATGGCGGCTGCGCCATGCGAGGTCCGCCACTGTGACCTCAGGTGGAGTCAGTTCCCTATGGGGCCACGAAACGTGGGAGGGCTGTGCCAGAATGGGGCGGCGGCGCCATGCGAGCTGCGCCACTGGGGCTTTAGGTAGAGCTCCCTATGGGGCCACGAACTGTGTGAGGGGTGTGCTAAAAGTGAGGCGTTGGCGCCATGCGATGCCCGCCACTGGGGCCTTAGGTTGAGCTCCCCATGGGACCACGAAGCGTGTCAGAGGTGTGCCAAACATGGGGTGGTGGCGCCATTCGAGCTGCGCCACTGGGACCTTACGTGGAGCTCTCCATGGGGCCACGACGCGTGTGAGGGGTGTGCCAAAATGGGGTGGCGGCGCCATGCGAGCCGCGCCACTGGGGCCTGAGGTGGAGCTCCCCATGGGGCCACGAAGCGTGTGAGGGGTGTGCCATACATGGGGCGGCGGCGCCATGCGAGCTGCGCCACTGGGGCCTGAGGTGGAGCTCCCCATGGGGCCACGAAGCTTGTGAGGGGTGTGCCATACATGGGGCGGCGGCGCCATGCGAGCTGCGCCACTGGGACCTTAGGTGGAGCTCCCTCTGGGGCCACGAAATGTGTGAGGGGTGTGCCACAATGGGGCGGTGGCGCCATGCGAGCTGCGCCACTTTGGCCTTGGGTGGAGCTCCCTATGGGGACACGAAGCGTGTGAGGAGTGTGCTGAAACAAGCAGATGCGGGGAGCCAAAGCAAGGAGAGGGAGGAGGGAGGAGGGGGAGGAGGAGGGAAGAGGAGGAGAAAGAGACGCGGGGCGCTGTCTTTTCAAAACGAGGACCCAACACCAAAGGATGGTTGGGACAGAAGTTATCCACCTCGCCAGGCAACGCGTATGACCCACACCGCGAGTCGATGTGACAAAGAGCCACGCGGCTGCGCCGACATGCGAACCTCAACACATGAAACAACGAGATGCAGATAATACCCCTTGTTCGGGAAAACCTTTTGTCCAAACACAATCATCCATTGAAATACACCTAGGCGGGAGGCGTCGGGTCAGTGCACGCCGGCTCCTCTGTCCCTCCCGCCTGGGATGGATAACGAAGAGACCAAGCAGGAACGTAATTACCATAAGTATGTGCACAGCATGATGAAGGACAGCACTGCGCAGTAACTCCAGGGGACGCACCAGCCGTTGGTCGCCGCCTCGCCCCTGCAATCACAAATAGCTTGGAGACCAAGGGCGCGCTTCCGCCCGGGATGGATGCCGAAGAAGAGGTGCAGGAAAAACACCCAGGATAACATGCGCAGCAAAACATAAGAAATTGTTGTGCGGCTGCTCCCAGAAATAACCACACCAAACATCGATCGACACTTGCTCCGTTAGCTTCTGGGATCGCTGTCCAAAGCCGCAGAGATTGGCACACGTTAAGCTGAGGTGAAATCGGTTCGATGCGGCCCTTATTCAATGATCTGCGAACACCACTAGTGGGTAGCGGGCTACCCCCAAGAGGGATCGCCTCCTCCACAGACAGCCCCACAATACCAATACCACGTCGAAATGATGCTACCCAATGCCCCTCAAGCGCCGACGTGGAGGCACGGACCTGGGAGTCCAGTGGCAAGTGTGAGCTCAAATGGTTACGACACGCGCCTCGGGCCCCCTGTGCTTGATGAGAGGAGGAGGAGGAGGAGGAGGAGGAGGAGGAGGAGGAGGAGGAGGAGGAGTTGGAGGACGCGGGCTGCGGCGGAGAACCGCCTTTGCGCCCGCACTGCGCAGGAGGAGGAAGAGAGACAGTGCCCCACGTCGGCCCCAAGCGTGCAGACGGAGGTCTCGAGCTCATTTTCGCACCAGGTGGCCGACCTCAGAGGCCTCCTTTCATCTTGTCCCGTTCGCCCTCCCGCTGCTTTTCATCCTCCCCTTTAGGATGCAACTCCTAGTAGGCTCAATTCGGCATCGGCGCTGGTATATTCGTGGTCCAAAGCGGGCCTGGTCCAGCGCAATACACTTATATCTGGCATTGTCCCGTGCTCAACCCCAGGCCCGAGTCAGCCTACTCTGCTCTACTGGTCCCTTCATCAGGGTGACTCGCCCTCATTGGTTCTTGCGAAGACCTCCCAGGAGTTGCCTCTTACCCCCTTCTCGGCTGCGAGCGAGGGGGCGAAGTGAGAAGGAACAGGCCTTCTCAGAAGTCTCGGAAGCACCCCAGCCTTCTGAGACGTTTCCTACAGTGGAGACCAATGCCAAGAAACACCCTGCTTGCCTCCAGGCTGCCCTGGGTTTCTTGGGTTTCGATGGCTCTGCTGTGGAAAGCGTGACGTTCCCACATCAAGAATACATGGACGTCCTGAGGTCTCGGGTTGGGTCTCGTGTGGAAGGTTTCTTGTGGACTGGCCTCAATTGTAAGCCTTCCCCCAAGCATTATGATGTTCCAACCTATTTTAGCCTTGACCACCAGAAATAATTTCGAGCACCAGAACAGACAAGTGCAGAAACTTGAGGGTTTTCACCTGTCGGGCCCTGGGGGACACTCGTCCGACACTGTTTCGACACTGCCTCGACACTCTTTCGACACTTTTCCGGGTGCTCGAAATGATTATTGGGATGTGGTCCTTAAGTGCGATGGTAGCAACACAACCCAAGCACAGCACACATCCCCAGAAAGCCCGAGGCCCTCCGAGAAGACCCGCAGCCTTCTGCGAGAGCCAGGCTTCCCCTGCTCGCTTCCCCCCCCTCGCTCGCCGTCGACCCTATTCGTTGTTGCGCGGGCCCCTGACCTCTCGACCACTCCCCCCAGGACTTGTGTTTTTCCATCGCGCTCCTCCTCCTCCGCCTCCTCCTCCTCTTCCTCCGCCTCCTCCTTCGCCTCCTCCTCCGCCTCATCCTCCTCCTCCTCCCCCCAAGGCAAGGCGTCCGTAGCCATTTTGGCTCAAGCCTGCTTTGGGCGCCAGGCGGGCTGTTGCTGCCCCCTGCCGCGGCTCGGGCGATGGCGGCGGTCCTTCCCCTCGTCGGGGATCAGGCGGCGTTGCTTGCGCCGCTGGTCAAGGCGGCAGCTGCTGCGGCTGCTGCAGACGGCGGCGGGCGGCAGGTGGTTGCCGCCGCTGTCGCTTCGGCCCTTCGCGTGGGCGCTTCTCTCCTCGCCCCGCGCCTGGCTTCCGCGGTGGACGAGGAGGTGGCGGCGAGGGAGGAGCTTGGAAGGCCTCATCTGACCGAGATGGTGCGGGCGGGCCGCGAAGGCGTCGTGGCTCGGCCCTCTGGGGCCAGTCGCGCCTTCCGCGGCTGGGCCCAGCACGCGGATTTCGGCGCAGGGCCGCAGGCGGTGCTTGCCACGGCCGGCGAGGCCCGGCGCCGGGCGCGTGGCCGCCGTCGTGGGGCTGGCGATGCAGCGTCGGCTCCCGCCACGGACGCTTTGGAGGGCGACAAGGTGGAGCTGAAGTCGAAAGTCTCATTGCACCCCTGCGCTCAGCGGATGGGGGAGCTGATGAAGAAGGACTTAAGTGCGCCCCTGGATGCCAGGCCACCCTGGAGGTGAAGGCGGTGAGGTCGGCCGTCGACGAGCTGGCCCTGGATAACACTCGGCTGTGCAAGGGGGAGACCAAGTGCAACTCGAAGAGGCTCGGCGTGAAGGATCCCAGGGAAACGGTCCAGGAGCAGCTCGACGGGGTTTCTGCCCTGGCCTTCAGTCCCAGGCAACCTGTTTGCCCTTGGAGCCTGTTCGTCAGCGGTGCACTGTAAAAAGCAGCTCGACGTGGACGTGGACTCGGAGCTGCCGAAGGAGGCGTCCCTCAAGGTCCAGGTCGGCAGAAAGGCTGCTGACCTCGATCCGCCCCTGGCCCAGTACGGCCTGGCCCGCGTCGTGACGGCCGCCAGGAAGTACGAGGCCATGCAGCAGGCGGCCTGCGGCGTCCAGCAGGATAAGAACGCCTTGGCTGAGGCGCAGGCTTGTTTCGACGCGGCCGTTGATGATGCTGTCGACGCTGCCTCGGGCATGGAGGAGGACGAGCGCACGGCGTTCATGGTGAAGCTCGGCCTCCCGCCCTAGAAGGTGGCCTTGTGGTGAGTGCCGCGGAGGCTCGTGCCCTCCTGCGGCACTCCTGAGTCGGTGCTGTCGCGGAGGCTCGTGTTCCTCCTGCGGCGGTTGCAGTCGCGGAGGCTCGTGTTCCTCCCGCGGCTGTCTCTTCGCGCGGAGGCTCGTGTTCCTTCTGCGCCGCTGCCGTCGCGGAGGCTCGTGTTCCTCCGCGGCGGCCGTCTTGGGTCGCGGAGGCTCGTGTTCCTCCTGCGACCCTGCCTGCTGAAAAGGAGAAGGATTGAGGCCACGTGAGTGGCAAGGCAGCAGAATCCAGCAGAATCCTCCTCCCAAGGCCCCGGCACGGGCCACGAGAGGCCGACAAGGATGAACAGCCTCAGCCTCGATGTTTCTGAGACGCCAGGATACGTGGGTCTGCCGCCTCCCCTTTAAGTCGGGCCTGTCCCTCTACAGGAGGCATATCCAAAACTAGTAAGAACACAGTCTGGGGGCGATGCTTCGACTTTCCGGATCAGCTCCGGAATCCTTTCGTTTTGACTTACTGTGCTCTACCCCTCGTCCCAAGTGCGCCTATAGCCCGAGGCGGGAATTTATCCATATCCACCGCCTGGAGGGCCAGTTTTTGGAGCCTCGGCAGGCGGTGGATATGGACATCTTCGGACCCCCGGGGGCCGAAATCTATCCGTATCCACCGCCCGCTGGGGCACCAGGGCGTGGGCTCCCAGGCGGTGGATATGGATAAATCCCCGCCTCGCATGTAGGGGGACATGGCCCGACCCGAGCCTCCCCCGCGCAGGACCTGCGGAAGCCGCCCACGTCCTTCTCCGGCGACGCCTTCGGCGGGGCGGGGCGCTCGGCGGGGCGGCCGGGGAGGCCGCGGCCTCCCCGGGGAGGAGGGGGAGGAGGAGGAGGAGGAGGAGGAGGAGGAGGAGGAGGAGGAGGAGGAGGAGGAGGAGGAGGAGGAGGAGGAGGAGGAGGAGGAGGAGGAGGAGGAGGGGGGGGGGAGGGGGAGGGGGGAGGGGGAGGAGGAGGAGGAGGAGGAGGAGGAGGAGGAGGAGGAGGAGAGGAGGAGGAGGAGGAGGAGGAGGAGGAGGAGGAGGAGGAGGGGAGGAGGAGGAGGAGAGGAGGAGGAGGAGGGGGAGGGGGAGGGGGAGGGGAGGAGGAGGAGGAGGAGGAGGAGGAGGAGGAGGAGGAGGAGGAGGAGGAGGAGGAGGAGGAGGAGGAGGAGCAGGAGGAGGAGGAGGTGGAGGCGGCGGAGGAGGAGGCCGAGCGTTCGGCGCTCGGCGAGAGGGGCGCCGCGGCCTCCCTGGGGAGGCCGCGGCGCGGGGCGGGCCTGGGCCGGGCGGCACTGGCTGGGGTGGGGAAGGGGGGGGCGGGCAGGAGACCACGAGGCCCAGGAGAAGGGGTAGGCAGACGAGGAGGAGGAGGAGGAGGAGGAGGAGGAGGAGGAGGAGGAGGACGGGGAGGAGGAGGAGGAGGAGGAGGAGGAGGAGGAGGAGGAGGAGGTTGAGGAGGGGGGAAGGTCAGAGGATGAAGAGGTACCCATACCGCTACCCTCCCCCCGGTTTCCCCCTTCTTGGGCCTTCTCGGGGGCCCTCGTCGCCATCGCCCGAATCGCTTGGAAATTCTTGACAGAGCGCACTCTGGGAGATGCCCGGGGATCGAAGAAGAAAAACATGATAAACATAACGTTGGGCGCTCTGCGCGGATCTCTTGGATCTGCGCTGGGCCCTCCGGCGGCGCCTCTGGCGCCGCCCCTGGCGCGTTCCGCGCGCCAGGGACGGGGGTCCAGCGCGGATCCGAGAAATTCGCTCGGACCTCCAAAAGTTTATGTTTTTGCAGTTTTTGGCTGCTCCAGGGGAGCAGCTGTATCGGTACCTGTGGATCTCCCCCGACGAGTTGTTTGGTTGCCGTCGCGCCCGCGGCCCTCCCGGGAGCAGACCTCTCCGCCGCTCGCCTCGCCGCGCCCCTTGGAGCCGCGAGCAGTGCGCGCGCCTCCCCGGCCGCGCGCACCGCGCGCGTCGCCGTGAGCGGCGGCGTCGGGGAGCCAACGAGCTGCCAGATCGAGGCCGGCGCGGGGAGCATCTCGCGGGCGGGGGCGCCATCGATGTGGGCGAAGGCCTCGCCCCCACTGTCAGGAGGAGGAGGGGGAGGAGGAGGAGGAGGAAAAGGAGGAGGAAGAGGAGGAGGAGGAGGAGGAGGAGGAGGAGGAGCAGGAGCAGGAGGAGGAGGAGGAGGAGGAGGAGGAAGAAGAGAGGAGGGCCATGGAGGCTGAGGGACGCAGGGAGGGGGAGGATGGATGAGGGGGGACGGTGCAGGGAGGCCCTCTCCCTTGCACTTCTCCTTCTCCCCTTTTGACACCCCTCCACCTCCCTCTCCACTTCCCCCTCTGTGGTGGCTCCTGGGAGACGTGTATACATGGGGTGCCGCCCTCCTCCCTTTCTGTTCTTGCAGCGGCTGGCGCGCGCCCGACTGGCACACCGTGGATGTGGACGATGGAAGGGATGTAGCGGGGACGTGTCAGGAGGAGGAGAAGGAGGAGGAGAAGGAGGAGGAGGAGGAGGAGGAGAAAGAGGAGGAGAAAGAGGAGGAGAAAGAGGAGGAGAAAGAGGAGGAGGAGGAGGAGGAGGAGGAGGAGGAGGAGGAGGAGGTGGAAGAGGAGGAGGAGGAGGTCTGGTGAGACGCGCGGGGTCACTCTGCAGGACGTCTAGGGCCCAGGGCCTGGAGGGCCCTCCTGGAGAGGAGATCGGCAGCACTGCCGCCCTGTGCCCCTCCCAGGGGTATCTCGGGGCCGCCAGGCGATGCTCCGACGTCGCCCTCGCTCGGTGCCGCCTCGCAGCAGCGCGGCCCTGCCTGGACTCTCTCCCGCCTCGGCTGCTGGTGTCCGTGCCCCGCCGAGGCCCTGAGCATCTCCTTCACGGCACGGTGGGATGCCCTGCACCAGTGGAGCATGCCGCCGCGCAGTCTTCCCTCAGGGCGGGGAGCCGTGCTCGGCGTGTGCACTGCGGTGCGAGCGGCGTGCGATTCGAGCGCGACTGCGAGCGACGGCCACGGGTGTGGGCGAGGATGCGAGTACAGACGGAGAGACGCGTGCGAGGGGTACCTTTGAACCGGCAGCTTGCACCGAGAACGTTCTAGCCTTGCCCGTGTTGCTCGCGCGTGTGTCCACCGCCGCGTGTGCTGCTCAAGAGGCTCACGTCATTCCGCCGACCCCCGGCAGAGGCGGTGTGCGGCGCTCCCGCTCTCGCACGCGCTGCCCGTCGCTGCCCGTCGTGCCGCCGTGTCCTCCTCTGCCTCTGCCTCTGTCGGTCTTGTCGTGCAGTGTTTCCCGGACGCGTGGGCACCGCCGGGTGTGTCGTGTCGCCCCCTCAGCCCTGCGCTCCCCCCCCCCGCCGCTGCCCCTCGCCGCCGCGCCTCGCCGCAGGAGCCGCGTCGTAGACTTCGGGGGCGGCAAGTCCTCGGACCAGCGGCCCCCAGCGTGATGTGGCCGTCGCATTTGCCGATGCCTGGCGGAGGGAGGGAGAGAGAGAGAGAGAGGGAATGTACTGGGAGATCACGCGTGCTGGTAGTTTCGCATGCTTTATACATACACATACATGTGCAGTGGCATCCAGAAAAGGCGAACTGAGCCAGAGGCAGGGCGATTGTATACATGCAGTCGCCACGCCTCGTGCTACCGGCCGCGCGTGTAAGCATGATCATATCATTGACGTAGATTGACGTTTTGTTGGCAATTCGCGTTGTGCACCCTGCTCCTCGAAACGTCGCACGGTAAAGCCATGATGGCGTATGTAAGGGAAACACGCAGCGAAGCTTGCACTTCTTTCGCTTCGAGGTGCGCGCGCCCCCCCCTTTCCCGACGTATTCCTCTCTTCTCCCTTTGCTCTCCCGCTTCCTATCTTCTGCCTGTCTTTGTCTTGCCGTCTCTGCCTCTGTCTCCGGCTCTCTCATCTTGTCAGTATGTTTGGTCCTCTCTCCCTGTCGCTCTCCCTCTCCCTTCCCTCTCTCCTTCTTTCCCTCTCTTTCCAGTTTCGGCTCGCGAGGTGTGCCCCCTGGGTGCCTGCCAGCGCAGGCGAGGGCCCCCCCGCGCGCGCCGAGATCAGCGCTCGGCACGACGCCGCCTCGGGAGGCGGCGGCACATCACCGAGCGCGACCCCGCCGAGCTGCGGATCGCGCGCTGCTGCACGCCTGGGCGGGCAAGGCCCCGCCCCGCCTCCAGGCCCTGCTGCAAGGCGCGGTTGCCAGGCTCAACCAGCACCACGGCTCTTCCTAAGGCAATATGGTGCCGCAGCCAGCAGATGATGACAAACTGCGGGTCCTTCGTGGACCACGCGAACCAACATGGACCTGCCTCAGCTGCACCACGACTGCAAGCTGGGCATGCGCATTGTTTGCCGCTGTGGGATGGTGGCGCCATACACTGGTGCAGCGAGCAAAGAAGGACGACAAGAACGACAGAGATACATATGCAGGAGGGCCCCCATCGTGTCGCTCGCCGTCCAAGTCGGTGAGAGGGATAGGTCTACGAGCATCGCTTGCGCCATGGTCTCAGGAGGCAAAGGAAATGGCCCAAATCCAGAAACTGTGCAAGCAGCTCCTGGCTGAGAACGAGAAGCCCAAGAAGGCGCAGGGTCAGAAGCATGCAGAGTTCTTGGAGACCGACGACGGCGAGGAAGGGGACAAAGTGGCGGGTCAATCTTCCTACGCCCAGCGCGCGGAGCTGCAGGCACATATCACCAAGTATGAGCAGACGATCAAGCTGCACAAGGAGGACGGCGAGGACGAGCTGGTGCGTGCGTGACCTTCAGAAACAGCTGGGGGTGACCAACGTGCAAGTCCAGGCGCTGCGCGCGCCTGCGATGGCCCACAAGCAGTGCACGCAGAAGCTGGAGTGGGTCAAGAAGCAGATCAGCACTGCCAAGTATGACATACAGTCTTGGCAGCAAAAGTTCGATAAGGTGCAGAAGGGGCTGGAGAAGAACAAGGACTTCCTCGACAGCAACCAGGCTGAGGAACAGGTACTCAGGGCACACGGCGCAGCTCAGTGGAACGGCTGAGAATAGCGTGGACGTGCTCCCAGGCATCCTGCACATCGACCCAGAGAGTGACCAGTTCAAAGAAGACCCAGACCTTTTGCGTTTCTACAAGCCGGTTGCGGCATACCCATTCTTCAGCAAGATGCAGGGAGCATGGCGGCAGATCATGGCGCCCCAAGTTGGCTAAGACGACAAAGCTCCTGTACCTTCCCCTCATCGCGAGCCTGGTGTCCAACCTCGCGGCGGCGCAGCCGACGGCGAACGTGGGCGCAATGCAGGCGGATGAGC